ATCTAAAGTATCAAAGTAAAATCTAAGGATCTAAATGTTTAGACTTATTTTAATATAAAGTAAGATTTAATGAAAAGCACAGCAGATGATGTCAGAAGAGCTAGCTCTGACACTTAGTAATTACGGGCAAGTCATTTACTTATTCCAATAAAATATAAGTTCCTTGACAGCAAGGATTATCTTACTTTTGTCCTTGTATTCCCAGGATCTAGCATAGCGCCTGGCACAAAAGAGGTACCTGACAAGTGACTGTTGATTGAGTGTTTCCTCATCTGTAAGTGAGAATAATGCATGAATACACCATCTATTTCACAAGGTTGTAATTAAGAGAAGATATTGTTAACCCTTAAAAGCTACTGAAAATGCAAGCTGTTACTCTTATTATTCTTTCTCCAGAGGCCAAAATTTGTACCAAGAGGTGGAAGTTACAGAGCCAGATTTGGCCTTCACAAAAGGAAAAACTTCCTAACACTTAAAACTACCCAGAAATGTAATGCATTGCCAAAGGAGGTAAATCCATATTACTGGAGGTCTTCAATCTTTAAGGCTAGATGACTACCTCAAAATGCCATAGAAGAGATTCGTCCTTGAGGTAACTAAATGACTTCTACCCAGGATTTTATTGATTTGTAACAGCATGACATCTTTTCCTAATTGACTTAAGAAAAGATGCAACAAGGTTTTTTTCATAAATTTTCTTGAAGACTGCAGTCTACTAGATTAACCAGAGTAAAATGTTATATTTGTTAATTAGAATTAGCTAGCAAAATCCCTTTTTCTTCTGCTTTCCATCTTTTCTCCTGAGGCATCAGAAGGCATCAAAAGTAAAGGAATTATAAAAGTTGAAGAGATGAAGCTCCATTTTATTTTCCTTCTTTTCTTGGGGGGGAGCTTTTTGGTTTAGGGCTTTACGGCACAGCTCTTTCCTTTTGTTAGGGAAGACTGTTACAGTGGGAAGAGCCTGGGAGTCAGAAGGCCTCAGTCCAAATCCTGCTTTGGACATTTATTATTATCTGTGTGACCTTGGGTACATAACTTTATCTATTTTGGCTTTAGTTTTCAAATCCATAAAACATAAGAATTGGACTATATGGCCTCTGAGTACCCCTCCATTTCTACATCTGTGATTCTATGATCTCAGCTACCCTTAAAAAACTTTGAGATGCTCTCTTTTCCTGATCAGAAATTCCTATAGGCACAAACTTTCCTTCGTTAAGAATGGTCCATTGGGGAGCAGCTAAGTGGCACAGTACATAGAGCACTGGCCCTGGAGTCAGGAGGACCTGAGTTCAAATCCAGTCTCAGGCCAGACACTTGCCACTTACTAGCTGTGTGACTCTGGGCAATTGCCTCAAAAATTTAAAAAAAAAAAGGTCCATTGGAACTCCAGAAAAAAGGTTCTATCCAATTTTCTTTTGGATCTTCTCCCCAAAATTGCTCCTTTTCTCAGTTATGTATTTTCCATTTCATGTTCCAGTCTCATTCCTTTTGCAGCACATAACTTGTGTGAATGTGCTATATGAGTCAATTTGGGATTTATTAGAATTAATTTCCCAATAAAAAGTAATTCTCTGGTTAAACTCATTTTTTTTTGAAATAACAAAGATTTAGATAAATGTCTTTGGGTTAAAATTTCACAAAGTAATCAATATACATTATACATATGTATATATTTTGATTCTAATTGTTTAATAAACACACAGTGTGGTTTGAAGAAGTTTCTGCATATTTGAATTACAAATTTGTGTAAAATTTGCTAAGGCACATTACTTACACTATTCTAAGCTAATGAAACTTTTGGAAGGGACACAGTCAAAACATGTCTACAGATGGAAGCACATAACGAATCTCAAATTTTAGCACAGGAGAGGCACAATCACTGCCACAATCACAAGCAGAAAATATAGCAATTTTAACACTGAAAAATAAAATATGTTCATATTCAAATATACCCTGGATTTATACTATCTCTACCAACCATCAAAGCTGAGTACTCTTAGGAGTTAATCCATCATAGGATTCAGAGAGGTAGAAAGGACATTATCTAACACCTAGCTCAATCACCACCTTTTACCACTGATTATGCTTAGAGAAGTCATGATTTGACCAAGGACAATAAATAAGAGCTAGATTTTCAGTCCCTTTCTTCTGACCCCAAATTATTACTCTCTCCTCTCATCACTTCAATAGAAATACTGTGTTAAGTCACAGCTTCCCAGAACTCATTTCTAATCTGTTGATTTTACAAAACTCTTCATTTGCTCTACATCTGGAGTTAACAACTGTGCAGGTATTTCTTCCATGACTATTGTTTTAATACATAAAAGGAAAATGTGTTTAATCTCAGAATGCTCCTAATGCTCCATTAATGAGAAAAACAACTAAAAAAAGAATATAAAGAAATGTCCAAATGAAAGCACCATCTGCCAGGATCTATATAATGTTCTCCAAATCTCAGATGATACACCTTTAAAAAACACTGGTCTCTTTAGGTGCAAACTTCTCTTTGTGCCCAGAGATCACAGAAGCTCAAAATTGGTAGAGATCCTGGAAGGCCAGTTAGTGTAACACATATGTGAAAAGTAACTCCCTCTAAAACATTCCCATCCTGCTAGGTATATATATCCACAGAGGTCAAAGACAGAAAACTCCCATATATACCAAAACATTCACAGCAGCACTTAAGCATAATAACCACCTTTTGTACAGTGACTAAACTGTGATCTATGAATGTAATGTTACTGTGCCATAAGAAACAATGAATTCAGAGGTACATGGGGAAGACTTATACATTGATAGAGTAACAAGAACCAGGAAAACAACAGACTCACAAACTGACTACAATGTAAATGAAAAGGAAAAAAGAAAGAAAAATTGAATCAATTGTGACCAAGCTTGGCTCCAGAGAACTGATAAGAGAATATACTCCCCTTCCTTCTTTTGGAGGTGACAGTCTGAGTACATTACAGTGAATATACTGTCAGAAATCATTTGATATATTATTTAGGTTTACCAGATTGCTTTTTCTTTTGCTTATTCTTTGTCGCTGGGTATGGGAAGGGGAAGGAGGGATATATTCAGAAATAAGTGACATAAAAAAAGATGTCACAACTCGTAAAAACACCTCTTAGCCACCACTTGAAGACCTTCACTGACAAGGAATTCTACTTGCTGAGGTAACCCAATCTTCTTTTGGACAGCCCCTTTAGGAAGTTTTGCTACTTATCATTGTTCCTATTTCTACACTTGGAAGCCAAGTAGATAACTAACTGCCCTTCTACTTAACTTTCAAACATTTGTTAAGAGCGTTCATGTTTTCCTATATCTTTTCTTTTTCTGGCTAAATATTCCCACTTCTCTAAACTAATCATATGGCATTATCTCAAGTCAATGTCCTTCCTAAAATGTGGTATCCAAAACTGAATACAGTACTCCAGATGTGGCCTGACCAGGGCAGAATACTTTGAAAAAATATGCTTGGTAGAGCTACCTCAGCACTTCACTTAAAACCTGACTGTGTCAGCAGTATATTTCTCCTCTATGAAAAGGAATAGTACTGAGATTCCATGCTAGATTTTATATAACCTAGTTGTTCCTGGTTTGGATCAATCCAAATACATAACACTGAAATATCTATGTGTAGCAGTATATGGAATGCTCATAGCTGTCTTTCTTTATGATTCCACATTATGACTACCAATCAAAAAGGACTTGGATTGGTTGTAAGACTTAAAAGAGACCAATCTAGAAAGATTTTTAAAGTATATTTTGAGAGAGGGAGAAGACTTAGATTGGATGATAAAGCATTTAAGCATTTACTATGTGACACATATAGCGTGAACTGCTGACAGTACAAATAGAAAAGGCTACAGTCCCCTATCTTGAGGAGCTCATACTCTAATGGGGGAAGACTCAAAACTCAGTATGTCCAAAACAGAATTCATTATCTTAAGCCAAATCCTCCCCTTTTGAACTTATGTCAAAGGCCCACCACCCTTTAAATTACTCAGGTTCACAACACCTGTGTCAACCTCAATTTCTCTTTCACCCCATGTAATCAATCAGTTACAAAATCTTATAATTTCCTTCTCTACAATATCAATTAAATATACCCCTCTCTCCATTCACACAGCCACCCATTTCAGGTTTTCATCACCTCTTGCCTGGACTATTACAAGAGGCTTCTAATTGGTTTATCTGCCTTGAGTCTCTCCCTACTCCAGATACATTTGCAACTCAGGAACCAGTGATTTCCTAAATTTTTGGTCAAAACATGTCATGCCTCTTGCTAAATAAACCCTTTTAGCTTCAGATCAAACATAAAATCCTTTGTTTTGCATTTAAAGCTTTTCAAAACATGGCCTACTAACTTTCCAATCTTATACTCTACTTCCTTCCATAAACTGTAGAATCCAACCATACCAGCCTACTTGTATGTACACACAACACTCCTTCCTGTCTCTGTGCTTTTATCCTGGCTGTTTCCCATATCTGTAATTCTCTCTCCTCCAAACCTTGGCTTCTTTCATCATCTCAAGCATCACCTCTTCTAGGAAGCTTTGCTTTGTTCCTTCAGTTGCTTGTGCTATCTTCTGTTACCTTCCTATACTCTGCATTCATCTTGTACACACTGAATTTATATATATGGTCTCCCCTATTAGAAAGTAAGCTCTTTGTTTTTGCTTTTTCTTTGTACTGCCAGAGCTCAGCACAGTTCCTGGAACACAGTAAACATTTTAAAAAAATGCTTGTTAACTCATTGATAAAAATAGCAACCGAGTTAATTTGCCAGGTACAATGCCAAAAGGTTGGTTACAAGGCGATTTAAGCTGCTGTGGCCAAATAAAGTTATCAGCTAAGAAATGGAGTATTCCAATAGGTTTTAGTGAATGGAGTCTTCCACTGATGAAAATCACAGACAATCACAGGTATCTTAAATTAAAATTATCAACGACATTATTTGAAACAGCACAAGAAAAGCTTAAAAAAAGCACAGTAAGAAATATTTCTAAAATTTATTCCAGGTCTTTACATTAACAATTATCCCAAATCATAATTGATTTATTTTACATTCAGTGAAGTCTAAGTATTCTGAAAGTATTTATGATAGTTGTGATCTGTATTCTTCTGGTCTGTTCATTAGAAACTGGACCAACTGAAGCAAAAGTTCATCACTGAAGCCTTTAACATCACCATCTTCAATAACTTCAAAGAGAGGCCTGCTCTCTGTCCCCCAACAAATATTCTTACGAGGGTTATTCTGATCAGCCTGTGCAGTGAGTGCCAAAGTATTTAACTGATAACAAAAGAAGGCAAAATATTTTCCATCTGTGACCACACCCTGAGAGACAAATGGACGGGTAACATCAGCTTCGCTCCAGAATCCTGTAGAAAGAAGTTACATTTATGTTCACATAAATATGATTTTTTGTAGGAATGCTTACCTAGAGGAGATAAAACACAAAGACATTGATCCACAAAGTACTCAAATTTTCACAAAAGTTTCCCATTCTTACCACCCCTATCCCTCTATGACATACTACTGTGTCTTCACCTTTTTCAAACTATTGTTCACAATGGAACTAAACTTGAGGCACATCATTTAACCTCTCTAGACATACATTTCCTCATTTATGAAATGAGAGGATTGCATTAGATGCCTTCTAATAAGGTCCTTACCTTTTACTATAAATTGCAATGAACTTCATCCTGTCAACTCAAGAACCTTCATTCCCAAGATAACTCTATGAATTCTCTAAAATGATGTAGACTCAGAGCTGAAAGCACTTGATAGATATTTTTGTCCAATTCCATTGTTTCAAATGCGAGGAAACTGACACCAAGGAATGTAAGTAACTTGGTCAAGGTCAAAAACCAGGAGCAGACAAATTTCCAGACTTCTTAATTCAGTGTCCTTTCCACTGCACCAGCTGCAATCTTCCCTGTCATTACTTATTACACCCTGAGAACATCCCTACTTCCCCATCCTTTCCTAGACCATCACTTGATCTTCATCTCCCAACTGTCATTTTTTCTTTCTTTCCATTCATCTGAAAATTCAAGCGATATACCTATTTTTGATTTTTCCCATACCATCCTGCAATCTTCACCATTCCACTGAAACTATCTCCCAAAAATAATAGATTTCAACTTGTCTTCTTGGACAATCTAAACTGTCTCTTTATTTTATCTGATTTGATTCCAACACAATCACATCTTTGATCAAGAAGCCCCAACTACAATTTCTGTGACACTGTCTCCTACTAACTTTTTTCTTACTTCTAAATAGCAACTTCATTATTTGCTTCACTGCATCATCTTCTTAATATTTTGTCACCGGTTAATACCCAGGGATATATCTCTCCTTTACAATTATATTCTCTAAGGGAAAATAATCTGTTTTCATTATTTCAGTTTTATTTACATAGAGAAGACTGATAATTCTGCCTCTCCACAAACAATCCTATCCTATACCTCATCATATATTTTCACACAGAAATACCCCAGCTATAATACCATAAAATGAAACAGATTCTCAAACAGTCAAATTTCTTGATTTAGCGCACACATCTAAACTTGAAGCATATTAACAGAAGGTGTTATGTGAGGCAAGGAAGGGGGAGGAATAGATATGGCCCAAATGAATCACTGGCAAGTTCTCATCATGTATACTGTATGAGTGTACATACACACATATACATAGCATATATGCATACACACACATATAATTACAAAAAGTAAACTATAACAAAGAAAATTTCAAGTAAAGATAAAAGATATTTATATTACACATTGTAACCTCCATGCGTGCTGCTAATTTGTTTTTGGTTTTGTTTTTAATGAAGTCTACTCTAATTTTTTAGCTTATTAAAAAAAAGCTCGATAGGGTTTGGTTTAGTTTTTGCTGACTGCTCCCTTCCTGAGTTCTATGGAAAGATATTCTGCAGAGGCTTCTAACTCTGAGAAACATTTTCTCTCCCAAGCATTTTCCTAAGTTGTAAGAAGTTGCACCAGTCAAGCCACACACATGACACAACTCTGATGTAACAACCACCTCTCAAAGTTGCTGAATGGGTTGTCAGGGATAAGGAACTCCACTCTCCCCCCAAAAAAAACTATTATGATTTCAGCCACCTATAGCCTGGAAAATAAGTGTCCCCAAAAACCTTCAGGAACAGAACAAAAGTAAGATTTTGCCTTTGCTGATGACATATCAGAAACTGAGCTCCCACCCCTACTCCCAATCACCTCTTTATTCCTTTTTGGAAAGGACAGAGGATCTGAGTCCAAATTGATACACAGATATGAAAGTTCATTGTTGGTGTGGAAATATGAAGACTCATTACAGGCAGTTACATTCCATCACCCTTTACCCCTCATCCTGCAACACCTATACTAGAGTTTTCAATACCCCACTGGGATAAGCTTATTATATACTGCATCCCACTTTCACTTCTGGTGTCATATTTTACCAAGTGATTCAGGACAAGAAAGGATACGAACTACTAAAAACTATTTTTTAGTCTCAGAAAGCTTGACCCTTGCAAAGTGGGGGCTATTTATCTACAAGTTTATTTGTATTAAGCACTATATGACTACACAATGAAAACAAGCCCAAAAAGAGAAAGGACAATATAAGTTCTTACTGTCAAAGTGAAAATCATTACAATTATTACCACAGGACCTCCAAGCCTCCTAGCACAAAATCTAATTACCTTAAACAATCAAAGCTTATGTTTCCATTTTTAAATGTTAAAAATATGTCAACCTCTTCTCAAGGAAACTAAGTCCAATTAAATTACTCAATTTAAGCATATATCAAACTGTCAAATCAATCTTACCTTGATACATAGCTTGTGCACCAGTCCAAGCAAAAAGACTGGCAATGGCATTGGCTCGATAACCGACTTCTATCTGATCAGAACGATTGCTCTTCAAGAGTCTCTCCCTTTTTATTTTGTCAGGTAACAAATGGAATTGAGTGTGGCCATAACAGCATGGATCTGCTAATTTTGTCCCTGAATTCCAAAGCAAACAAAAAAGAAAAAAACGACAAAACACAACAGATGAGAATTTCTGTTAAATATTATTTTACTAATTGCTTCATGCTCTTCTGTAAATTAAATAATCTTGTATTTTTCTTTAAATTACCTTTCTTTTCTACAAGCAAAGTGTTTTATACACAAAACACAACCCCCCCATTTAAGCACAAAATCACAATGTGATAACATAAAAATAAACTAAAATGTAGCAAATAAGCTATATTTAGCAAATAAACTAAAACATAGAAAAATAGTAGCAAATAAGAGGACAGGAATAAGACTATAACATTCTACTTCAAATTTACCTGTTGATTAGTCAATTAATTGGGACTCTATTTTCTCTGTGCATTATTTTCTTCTGCAATACGATTCTATTAACAAAAGGGTAATACTAAGTCACGAGCTAAGAAACTATCACTAAATAATAGTATACTCAGTATTTGGGGAAGAAATATCACCAATTTAAAACAGAATCTAAAGATTAAAAAAGCTAAAACAAACACTGACTACCTACCTTTACAGTTGTGAGGAAAGCACTTTGTTAATCAAAATGCTCTGAAAATAGAATGATTATAAATGCCAATAGGTGAAACGGTGACCTCATATTGCAATGGTAAAGTGCAATCCCACTTAGAGGCAGAACTGTGGTATGATAATAGACGAATCAAGAGATCTGGGTTCTGATTCTAATTTTGGCTTTCTCTGGTTATATGACTGGAGAAATCAATTCAATTTCCTTATTTGTAAATACTGGGAGCTGGACTAAGTGGTCTGAAAGATCTCTTCTGGCTCTGAGTCTAAGTGCTTCACTTTACAGCCACTCCACAGTTCACTTGTACATTAGTGGCCTCTTGAACAGGTTTCTCTTAAGTCTCATTGGGGTTATAAATTGCCTTGCTACTATTTCAACAGACAAGTATGTATCAGAGAAAAGTAACAAAAATGAGTATGATACCAATTCAGCTTTTAGTTTAAGTAAATCAATGAACATTTTGTAAATGAAAACCAAAATAACACTTAAAAAATCAATTTTAGTATTTTTAAATGCATAGTTTTGAGATGACAAAGCTGCATAAATATCTTTCCTGTTTATCAAGCTTCTGTGTACGTACAGAACTACAAAATGAACTCTAAATTGAAAGCACGTGTTCCTTCTTGGTTTGCTTAACTGCTTCTTGAATAAGAATATGTCTGCATCTCTAATATGAACAGTTCTTAAAACAGGCATACCATGTTGTATTGCACTTCACAGATATGGCACTTTTTTTTTTAATAAATTGAAAGTTTGTGGCAACTCAGCGTCCAGCAAAATCTATCGATGCCATTTTCCCAACAGCATATGCTCACAGTATGTCTGTGTCACATTTTGGTAATTTTCACAATATTTCAAACTTCTTTATTACATCTGTTAAGGTGATCTGTGATCAGTGAGCTTTGATGTTACTACTGTAATTATTTTGGGGTACCACAAACAGCATCCATATAAGAGTGCTAGACAGATAAATGTTTTGTCTGTTCTGACTGCTCCACCAACCGGTTGTTCCCCGTATATATGTGTGTATCTCTCTCTCTCTCTCTCTCTCTCTCTCTCTCTCTCTCTCTCTCTCCCCCTCTTTCCCTCCCCCCTCAGGCCTCCCTTTTCCCTGAGACACAACAATATTGAAGAATTACATAAACTTACTAGATAAAGCAGCAGCAGGGCTTAAGAGAACTGACTCCAATTCTGAAATCTGTACTGAGGGTAAAATACTATCAAACAGCATTGTATGCCATAGAGAAATAAATGCAGCAAATTTTGTTGTCATCTTATTTTAAGAAATAGCCACAGCCACCCCAACTTTCAGCAATGATCACCCTGATCAGTCAGTGGTAATCAACATCAAGGCAACAACCTTCACCAACAAAAAGATTATGACTCACTGAAAGCTCAGATGACAGTCAGCAATTTTTAGCAATAAAATTATTTTTAAATTAAGACATGTACAAATTTTTTTGACATAGTACTAATGCACATTTAATAGACTACAACAGCATGTAAATATAAACTTTATATGCAGAGAAATAAAAAAATTCTTATGACTTTATCACTTCATTGCAATATTTGCTTTATTGTATGATCTGGAGCCAAACCTGCAATATCTCCAAGGTATGCCTATACAAGAATTACCAATGCCTGTAGAATGACTGTATGTTATAGTATTTAGATTCAAACATTTGGGCACCAACAATTAATTTCTCTATCTCACACACACACACAAAGTTACAACACAAGTTACATTACCTCTAAGAGAAAAACTCACCTATAAATATGTTATTTTCATACTGTCGTCTGAATAATGGAAGTTTGTCTGGTTTACAATTCAGAACAGGAATTTCTATTGGAATAGAGTAATCCAATGGCACAAACTTAAGGAAAAAAGTTACAAGTATTAAATCTTAACAGTAGCAATAACATATATCCTTTTATTACTATCTACCAAAATGTAAATTAACATATTAATCACTAAAATAGATGTATTAGATCAAGTTTTTGAAACGCAATTTGAACAATTAATGTAGGAGCAAAGAAAAGTTTGTCAGTTTTCTTGTTTTTCCTCAGAACTATAAATATGATACACAGCCCAATTCAAAAACATACTACTTTGGATAAAAGGATTTTCTCTTACAGTTTAAGACTATAACTATAAAACTGCACCCAAAAAAATTGTTTTTATAATAGGAAAAAAAAGTTAACCAACAAACTTACTCCCATACAGACACTACTGTACTATACTATTCTCTCTCTCTCTCTGTGTAGGTGTGTGTGTGTGTGTGTGTGTATATATATATATATATATATATATATATATAATATATATATATATGCATATATAAATATAATAACTACTAGATTAACCATATAGTAATAAAGTAAGACCTATATGGAATATTTGTAAAATGAACAGAAAACCAGAGATAAAAGGCTCATAATCCTAATTTAATATTACATAGCTGGGCAAATTATTTACTATTAGTTTTTTCCATACATAATGGGCCAGTCATAAAGGTCATGGTTTAAAGTAATATAGATCATATTTAAAGGAAAATTCTTACCTCTGAAAGTTGTTTTGGTATACGAATCTGGCTATGTGGTTTATCATCTATCTGGTATCGTAATGCATCAACTCTACCTCGACGATGACCTTTTGGAATAATTTCTTCACCACGCCACCAGTAAAAGTGAACTGGACGTTTAAAGTCTAACAAAAAATGTATATATTTTCATTTAGTGAACTTAATTATGTTAGTTCTTACACCACAGACCACTAATTTTAACATTAAATGTTTGATTAAACACTAAATGCCTGAAGCAAACCAGATATCTTAATCCAAAATAATTTTAACAATATTTTTCAATGTGCTGAAAGGATCAGGTTTGAGGCTAGTAATTTAACATTAAATTATTCTGATTTAAATATACTGTTACAGAAGAATATTCTTGGTGAGAAGCACTCAAATCTCTGAGCCTCAATTTCTTCACCTATAAAAATGCCTATAGCTACTTGCCTTGCAGGGCTGTCAAGAGAAAAAAGATTTGTAAATTTTAAGGTCCTATATAAACTTGAACTATTTTTATTTTTATTATAGTTATTCTTCACCAGTCTCAGGGTAAAAATCTGTTCCTCCTACTTCCTTCATCCTAGACCCTTTAATTTACTCTGGGATTTAGTTCCCTTAAGTTTTCACTCTTGCATTTTCAATATCTCCCTTCCCTCCCCTCTGTCTATAAAAATGCACCATCATCTGTATTCTTGAATCTAGAGCATCCTCTGGTTCTTCCACATCTGGTTGTATCCTCCTTGTCTTCAACAGCTCTTCTTCCTGTTCCACAAAGTTGGGTGTCTTCCAATGCTCTGTCCTGAGCTTTTAACATTTAACTGCCTCTTTACTTTCTTCATGATATCTCATCTACCCTCTGGGTTTCAATTATCATGCAACTCTATGCATTTATCCAGAACAGCACCTATGCTTGGAATACACACTCCATCTTCTCCTCTGCCTTGGAGAAACATTCTTGTTCTTCAGCACTCAACTTGAAGTACTAACTACTGCACATAACCTTCCTAGATGTCCCAAATGAACATGCCCTCTCTCACCTCCACTCTGCCCTACTTAATCTGGACCACATCACCACTACTTGGCATTATACTTATCTGGGAACATTAGCTCCCCTCATCCTCAGCAGAATATATGCTCTTTAAGAAAAAGGATGGTTCATATTTTATCTTTGCTTCTACACTTCCTAATACAGTGTCTTACACATAATATATATTTAAGGAATGTTTGTATCTTGGGAGATCATCAGGAAAGATGGAAGAGAAGAATTTAAAGCATATTAAAGCATATTAGTGAACATCCACATTAAGGAGGAAGATGGAACAGCAACAGTGGCTTGGAATTAAAAAGTAGGAAATGAAGGTAAGAAAATAGAAAATGTAAAGAAGAAATAGCTGGTCAATTGCCAAATGTGACAGAAAACTCCAGGCATGATGACTGGAAAAAAAGCTGTTAGACTTGGCAATTAGGAAGTCAGCTTCACCTTTGAAAGGGCCATTCCACTACTGCAATGGAAATAGAAACCAGATTACAAGGGGCTAAGCAACAAGTGGATGGGCAGAAGTAAAAGTAGAAATCATAGACAGACAATAAGAAATCAAAGGAACTAACCTGTTCCTTTGTAAGTATGAAGATTAAAAATGAAAGGGAAGTAGCATGAAAAGGGGCAGCTAGGTTTTTCAGTGAATAGATTGCTGGGCCTAGAGTCAGGAAGACTCATCTTCAGGAGTACAAATATGGCCTCAGACACTTAACTAGCTATGTGACCCTAGGAAAGTCACTTAATCCTGTTTGCCTCAATTTCTTCATCTGTAAAATGAAGTGTAGAAGAAAATGGCAAAACACTGCAGTATCTTTGCTAAGAAAACTCCAAACAGGGTCACGAAGAGTCAAGTAAGACTGAAAAATGACTGAACAGCTTGAAAAGACATTCCCTTACTCAAGGGAAGGGTTTGTTTTCTATTTACTATTATTTTTTTAATATATGAATGACCTGTAAGAGTCCATGAAGAGGGAGAAATTAAAGAATCAAGAGAATGTTTGTTAGAACAAGGGCCTAGAAAGGAAAGAAAAAGATGAGAAAAGATACAAAATGGTGAGCAAAGAACAGACTTCCTGCCTTAGTTTTATGCTGAAACTATGGGAGTGGGGTACTGAAAAACTTTGGAATAAACACCACAGGGTACGTGCTAGGGTTGTTGAGCAGCAGAGAGGGTCCAAGCAATGTTACAAAGTATAAATTTATAATGAATGAAATGAGGGATTTTGTGATTTTTTCCAGCACTGGATGGAGGGGACACTACACTGACTGAGGCAGGGCAATGTAGGAACCATAAGAAGTCAGGGTTTTAGTTTTGTATTTACCACAGTATTGTGAAGCTGTGCATGTGGAATCACCATACTTTAAGAGATAGAAAGGGCTTTAGAGATTATCTAATACAGCTGCTCATTTTATTATTTTTTAAGAGCATTTACAATCTGATCTATTACTGATAAGACATTTTACTCCAAGTCTGCTCCCTTGTCCTTTACCAAATCATTCAATGAATTCTCATTCTGATAAGTCAAATAAGTTGTATATATAAAACCTTAGTTTTCTCACTTTTAAAATGGACATGATACCAACAACTTAAAGATTTGATAAGAATCGGTACAATCATTTATAAAAGGCTTAATACTTAGGGGTAGGGCAGCTTCACTTTGAATACAGTACAGAATTTATAATTTTATTATTATAGCACTCTTCTTGATAAAACCCAGAATGCATCTGGTCAAGGACCCTTTATCTTGCCTTTTTAAAATACGCATTTTTTGAGGCCTATTATATTCCGTGTTTCTGATTCTTTGGTACTCAATTTATCAAATCATTAGGCTGTAAGTGCACTCTCTGTCCCCTCTCTCTCTACACATACACAGGGGGGCAAATACATATATGTAAATATATGTAATTTATCACTTGCTTTTAACATTCTTCTTAAATTCTGAGTTCCAAATTCTACAACAGCTTAATTTACAGATGACCTCTCTAGGCCTGTTTGGCCCTGTGACTCTCACAGTACTTTCTTATACCTTTTGTGCACTTTTCATATTCTCCATACTTTCCATATTCTCATCTACTCTCCACTGGAAATGAAATGTCTACGGTCATTTAGCTGTTTATTAGCGGACAAAAATAATAGCTTACTTTAATGTAATGTAATGTAGGTTTACATAAGGATGTGCTTTCAATACCTTTAGAAGTAACCCTTCTGCCTCTTCACAACTAGGGCAGTGATCTCATTTCACCAAAGAATCACAGAATGGAAGAGCTAGAAGGGCTTTAGATCCAAAGAAAACCAATTTCCTCATTTCACCTGAGAAAACTGAGGCCAAGTGCAAAGTGATTTGTCGGGAAAACTCGGGTTCAAATTCAGCCTCAGAAATTTCCTAGCTGTATGACTCTGACTGGGCAAGTCACTTAACTGGTCTGCCTCAGTTTCTCACCTGTAAAATGGGAATAATCAAAGCAACTAAATCACACAGCTATCGTAAAGACAACAACAATTATTATTACAGGTAATATTTATATCGTGCTTACTATGTGCTAAGCACTAAAAGTATTAATCACTTTAAAATTATCATTTGATCCTCACACTGGGATGCCCAGTGTCCCACAGTTAGTGTCTAGGGAAAGATTTGAACTATGTTTTCCTGACTCCAGGCTCTGCCCTCTATCCACCCCACCACCTAGCTACAAAATGTTCTGAAAACCTAAAGATGCTATACAATGCTATCATTATAATTACTATTATTTGTTCAAGGTCATTCTGCTTCTAAGTGTCAAGGCCTTGGACCTTACAGCCTGCATCCTGAGATGTGCCTGAATGACACAAAAACCACCTGGGTGGCCCACTGGGATACGGCAGGATCTGGAGTCAGGAAGACCAGAGTCAAATCTGCCCAATTACTTGGCTATGGGTGCTGGAGCAAGTTGCTTAAGCTGTTTGTAAAATAAGGATAATAATTGCGTCTCCTTCCCAGATCGGTTTTTGAGGATAACATGCAATATTTGTAAAGCCATATGTACATGTGAGCTACTATTATTATTTTTATTATTGCTATTATTGAATGTCCTAACCTAGTTCTATGGGCCACCTCATGGAGAAGTACATCCCTTGCTTGGTACAATGGCACCAAAAGGCGATTTGCAATCAGAATTCGTTGGTTGTAATTCCTGAAGCTACTGTGGTGTTTGTGAATTAAAAGTAAGTTTCTTCATGCGCAGGAGAGAAGAAAAGGGGAGGGAATGGCGGGAAGAAGACCTGGTAGTGGATGTGGGGGGTGAAACACTGGAGGAAAGCGGGGTCCTGGGAGCAAGAGGGAGAAGGGGGGGTCCTAGGGGCAAGAGGAAGGGGGGGTCCTGGGGACTGGGGGGAGGAGGCAGAGAAAAGGCCTGGAGCGGGGGGCGGGCCGGCGGGCCTCGGACACTCACCTAGGGCTGCGGCGGCGAGGCTTGGGTTGTGGGGGATCAACAGGCCGGTCAGTGAGGCCACGAGCTGCTGGAGGAGGGGCGAGGCCACGAACTCCTGCTGCTGGTAGAGCGGGGCCCACTTCTTGCGTTTCAGGTGGAAGTGCTCCTGCAGGAGGCAGTCGCACACGGCCGAGCGCAGCGGGGCCAGGTCGGCCGGGCCGCCGGGCTCGCCCGGGCCGGGGGCGGGGGCAGGGGCAGGCCGCTCAGGTAGACGGTCTTGGTGAAGCTCTGGTACCAGCGGTCTGCATTGAGGGCGAAGGTCTGCGGATACACGACGTACTTGAGGCGCTGCAGCTTCGTGAGCACGCGCAGCTTCGCTTCCACTGAGGGCGCGTCGTGCGCCTCCTGGTGCCACCGGTCCACCCGACGCTGCCGGGCCGCCTGGCTTTTGGCCGTGAGCGAGCCACCACCGGCGGGTACCGCGCCGCCGAGGCCGCGGGAGCGGCGACCTCGGCCGCGGTGTGCAGCTGCAGTGCCCGGCCGCACGGCCGCAACCTCACCCGAATGGAGGCCGCCATCTTTGGCCCGGGGGCTCAGGCGGAGCTTCGAGGCCGATGATTGGACCGCTTGCACGTAGACGCCGGGTATAGAACCGACCAATCGGAAAGCAAAATCACGAATGCGGGCATGCGTAAGAGCGAAATGTAAGGCGTTTACGCGACGAAATGGCGTCATTAAACGCGGAACCAATGAAATTTTTCTCTTAGCTTGGTTCTTCCCGGGGGCGGGATTTTTGGAGCAGAAAAATCTGTATCAGTCTTCCGTTCCCTGACCTTTCTTTTTAACCAGAGTTAAACGTCAGACTTTGAAATGCCACTTAAAATGCAGTTAGGAATAAGGCCAAGTACCTTCGTCCTGTCAGCTGTTTGACGAGAGATTTTTTTGTTTTTTTCCAAATGCCTTTTAGTTTTTCAATAACTCTTTAGTCCACCTTTGCCCGTCACTCCAGGGCTACTTGATAAGTCTCGCAATGTACATAGTACATAGGATCGTGGATTTAGAGCTGAAAGGGAGCTCAAAGGCCATCTAGTCCTGCGGCTCAACCTTTCCTTGTCATGGACCACTTTGGTGATCTGGTGAAACCCATGGACCCTTTCTTAATAAAAAAAAAAAATAGGGAAGCAAGTTTATTGCAATACAGTTAGCAAAATATATTTTCAAAGAGTACACGGACCCTAGATTAAGAACCTCTCAAGTAGTCTAAACTCCTCTTTTTACTGAGGAAAGAAAACAAGTCCAGAAAAGTAAAGCAACTTTGCCCAAGGTCAGACAGATAGTAAGAGGCAGATCTAGGCTAGGACATGAATGGATCTCTGGAAACTAAATTCATTGCCCTTTCCAATGCATCTGGAGCTGGAAAGGATTTAACACCTCATTTTATGTATAAGGAAAAAGTGACACAAGAATTTAAATGACTGGTGAAATACATTTAAAGAATAAATTTCTGTAAAGTATTGTCATTGGAATATATTAATTCATCAAAGCAAAGAGTAAGTATAGTTTAGTGAAAAGAGCTCTGGATTTTGTGTCCTGTGTCATGCCTGAAAATAAATGACCAAAGAGTCACAGAGGTTTGCAACTGCTGTTAACTCTAAAAATACCAAAGAACTGAATTAGGTTATCACAACCACAGTTAACTCTAAGTAATAAAATAAAACAAAGTGAAAACAGAGCACTAACAGTGGTCTTAAGCAAAAAGCTTTCTTTATTCCATTGGAGGAAAACTAGACACATGTTCCAGGGCTTCAACTAGCGGACATCTGCTTTAGTGTGGCCAAATCTCAATGCATATAGCAATGGTTGCAGAGAGATCTGTAATCCTGACAATGAGGGCTAAGAGCAAAAATGACACAAGTTTGATTCATAGCTGGTTTCATAACAAGACATGGGTCCTGCAGGTGCTTGTCCAAGCTCAGGGACCATGTGGTGCTGATGCAGAAACAATTCTGGGATTTTGCTGCAGCTGAGTTCATACAGAGGGTGAGCACAAAGGATTGTTGTTATGTCAAGCTCAGGGCACAGCTTACCTCCTGTGCCTTAGCTCTGGAAAACAGAGTATCTCCTAACAGTAAAAAGAGAGGGGTGGTCTTCACATGGGCATCCTGACACCTAAAACTGGGATTCAAGTCCCTCTCTCAGCCCCTTACTCCTTTTGCAACCTGAGGCAAGTCTTTTGCCTTTGCTGGGCTTCAGTTTCCTTTGAAGTATTGGGATGGGATCAGGATTGGCATCCATGTCCTTACCCCTTATGTGTAGGTGCACACTATAGATCAGGTGTGGATCCTCTTCTCTATATATTCCTTTGGTGCTCTAATCAGCTCCCATGGGTTCAGTGGTCATTGTAGATAACTCCCAAATTGATATCTCTCCCTCATCTCTCTCCTGACCACCAGTACTACATCATCAACTGACCCATGAACATTCCCTCCTCTATGTCCTATTGGTATCTCAACTCCCAAACTTATCACCAAGTTCAAAACAGAACTGTTCTTTCCTTTAAACTGATCTTCTACTCTTCCCTACTTCTGTAAAGTGCACCCAGGGTCACAAACTCAGAGGTGCCCTGTCCCCATCCCTGAAACTGGTTTGTATTTGCTTATCTGTAAATTCTTTGAGGGCAGGGCCTGTTTTGCTTTTGCCTTTGTCTCCCCAGTATCTTGACTCTTTGTTCTCCCCTTGTTGAAAAGTCTTATCAGTTCATTCTCCACAGCATCTCTTATATCCATCCTCTTCTCTCCACTAATATCATCTGGGTCCTAATTCATGTCCTCATAATGTCTTGACGATACTATTGCAGTAACTTCTCAGTCATCAAACTCTCCACTCTCCAATTCATCCTCCACACAGTTGCCAATTTGAAATTCGTAAAGCCTGTATCTGATTCTGTCATTCCTCTGCTCAGGAGGCTTCAGTGACTTCCTATTGCTTCCAAGATAGAATTCCAACCTGTTTTTCCAGACTGACCATGTTGTTTGTTTCCAACAAACTTTATTTGTTTTTTGTTTTTTGTTTTGGTTTTTTTGCTTTTTTGCTTTTTGGTGAGGCAATTGGGGTTAAGTGACTTGCCCAGGGTCACCCAACTAGTAAGTGTTAACTGTCTGAGGCTGGATTTGAACTCAGGTCCTCCTAACTTCAAGGCCAGAGCTCTATTCACTGAGCCACCTAGCTGCCTCCAACAAGCTTTATTTGTTTAGAGTTAACAGCAGTTGCATAACTTCTGTGACTTTCTGGTCATTTATTTTCAAACTTGACATAGGACTCAAAATCCAGAGGTCTTTTCACTAAACTATACTGACTCTTTGCTTTGATGAATTAATATATTCCAATGACAAGAAGCATTGCTTCTTTTCACACACTATATGTTCTAATCCAATAAACATTTATTAAGTGCCTACTGTGTGCCAGGCACTACTTTAAGTACTGGGGATACAATGATAAAACGAAAAAATGGTATCTGCCCTCAAAGCATTTACAATGTAAAGGGGAGACAACACACAAAAGGAGGCAGGAGTAGGATGGGAGTGGGGAAGGAGAGATAGGACACTGGAGCTAGTCTGTATGGAGGCATCTTGTTCGGTGGACTTGAAACCAGGCAAAGCAGCAGATGCAAAGGGGAGTGAGCCAGAAAGTCCAGGTTCTTCCCTCTATAAAAAAAAGGCACTGCAAAGAGTTTGGTGCTCAGCCCTCCAATCAGAGGGGGTAGGAGAGTGAGGAATGTGTCAATCAGAGCTTAAGTTAGCAGCCTGGTGGTGAATTTAGAAGTGATGAATTTATGCTGAGAGGGGCATCTTGTTCTGTGAACTTGAAACCAGGCAGAGCAGCAGATGCAGAGTGAAGTGAGCCAAATTAGCCTACTTCCCATATATGACATTCCATCTGCCACCTCTGTGGCTTTGCACAAAATATCCTTACCTCTTTGGAACACTTTCCTTCCTCACTTTTGCCTTTTATCATCCTCTCTTCCTTTAAGGGTCAGCTTAAGTACCATCTCCTGTAAAAGGTCTGTCCTAATTATCCCAAATTTTAATGATACCCTACTCCCATCCTTGAAATTATTTTGTATTCTATATTTGCTTATCTGTGTATATGTTATTCCTCTCTCCTCTCCCCAGGAGAATGTAAATCCGTTGAGGGTAGGGGCTGTTTTGCTCTTTCCTACATCATCATTTCCTAGCATGATACCTGCCACACATAGGTGCTTAGTAAACATTTGTTGAACTGAACAGAATGCTAAATCCATCATACTACATTGGAAAGAGCCCTTGATTTAGAGTGAACGGGACAAATCCTGGTTCTCCTTCTTGCTACCTCTGTTACCCTAGGCAAATCACTAAACCTCTCTGGAGGTTCTTCTCTCATCTATAAAATGAAAGAGTGGAATTGAAAGACTTCTGATGCTCCTCTAAGCTCTAAGATTATTATCTTTCTGAATAAAATTAAAACCTTCACTCTCCCTACATGACTGATCTGTCTCTTTCTAGTCATGCCTTTCTCTCTGATAATATCCCTTACACAGTTCTGTTATATAGGCCTTTGTTGGTAATATGATACAGCCTACTACATGCCTACCATGTCCTCTCCATTGCTTCTTAACAGTGTTCCAATTTAATTTCTTTAAGAAAGTGTCATTTCATGATTTGTAGCCATATACTATAGTTATATAACATCATTGGAGGGGCAGCTGGTAGCGCAGTGGTTAGAGCACCAGGCCTGCAGTCAGTAAGTCCTGAGTTCAAAGAAGGCCTTAAACACTGGGCAAATCACTTTATCCTGTTTGCCTCAGTTTACTCATCTTTAAAATGAGCTGGAGAAAGAAACAGCAAATCATTCTAGCATCTTTGCCAAAAAAGCCCCAAACGAGGTCATGAAGACCTGAACAAACATCATTCTAAGAATACTCATTTTAAAACATGGGCCTTTGTTCTGGCCAAACTTGGAGGCTTTACAAGTACTGAACAATTTCACCAATTCAATATTCTGTCTTCCTGCTGTTTGTTTACTCTTGGGTCCAGTTCATAGTCCATTTGTAGTGATTTTCCTTTCCAAAATATAATGCCTCCAAGTAAATAATAAAATGTTATGCCTCCAAGTTTGCCTGGAACAAAGGCCCACTTTTTAACATGAATATTCTTCTAGTGATACTATATAATGGCATTATGTGGCTACAAATAATGAAATATCACTTTCTCTAAAGAAATAAAATTGGAGGTCATTCTAAGAAGCAATGGAGAGGAGATAGTGGGCAAAAGGTAAGCTGTATCACATTACCAGCAAACATCATTGTATCAGGTTTATGACTAGGCCATCAAATGTCTCATGATATTCTGGAAAACATGCAATATTCATCCATTTAGTTTTTCATTTTTGCAGTTAACTCTTGAACTTTTTTGAGTGATTATGAATCACATTGAGGAGGCTCTGCAACCTTTTAGAACTTGATGCAGTTAGCACATTGTCATTAATAAACAGGAGCATCTAAAAGACCTGATCTTTAGGGAATGTTTGACTAATATGTATC